TTCAGCCAGAAAATATTTTAAAGCCAAAAAATACTTTTTTTAGAGGGTATGACTTCTATATATATATATATATATATATATATTTTTATAGATATCAATGTTTAAGTAATACAAATTTTACTAATTAACCCATAGCTGGGAAAATAAGAGTCGGATTTATAACTTCCCCAAAGGTTTTTGCGCGTAAGTAAATATGAATAACCCATCTGTGTTCACTGCATTACACAACCTGAACCTTCAAGCTTACATCACTTGGTATTCCGAAGCGATCAATGGTCTAGGTACTGACCAAGTTCAATGTTGCTTAACTTCAATGATCGTACTTGAGCCGGTGTTTCAAAATGATGTGACCGTAAGACATCACCAGCTCTAGAAACAAATTTAGGGGAATTAGGACTATTGAAAGATAGAATATTTAGAGCATTACACACACACACACACACATATATATATATATATATATATATATATGATGCAACCATCATAAATCATGTTGTGAAATAAAGCGTTCATATATATATATATATATATATATATATATATATATATATATATATATATATTAGCAGGGTGGCCACTGAAAGACTGAATGATACTTACTTTTGCAAACACATGTTTTTTTTTCAATTTTTTATTATTTTATTTGGATGGAAGCTTTTTAAAATCCAATTTCAGAATCTTCTGAAGCGATGTTCTGGCAGCTGCGCAGAGCGACGACGGGTAGAAGCTGATGGGTCCTCAAGGACATTCTGTCTTACAGCTCCCACCGTTGCGTTTAGGACCTCTTCCCAGAAGATCGGCGACTGATCTAGTTCTTTCAAACCGGGCGATTAAGCTCCGAATCACGTTATCGCTGGGAGATACTCTGAAATTAATATGTTGCAGGCATTTTCTCTGAGTTTGAATAATTGAGCTTTCATTGGATTAGAAAAACTGATAAAGAGTTTTACGCGTTTAGTGACATCATACGTGGCCATTTTAATCTCCCAGGGATGCTCCATAACCTGAAAAATAAATAAATAAATAAATAAAAATGATTGAAAACGAACAAGTTATGATATTTTCAAATCTTCAATTTTGCAGTGGCCACTCTGATGGTATACTTGAGGAACAATTTTTGATTAAAACCATCGAAAGATCCGTTTTGATTATTTTTGCTTATTGTTCTTTCAAAAACATATATTATTTTTTTTAATTTCCAATTAGAATTGGAATATGAAAATTGGTTTTGGAGTATTCCAATGTATAGCTATGTGATATCCATACACATGTATGACAGTCAATGATGGACAATCTCCCCATTGATAAAGAGAAACCTGGAGGCAACAGAAATGTGTGCTTTACAGAACACTAAGAATTCCATGAACGAAGCAAGTAAACTACGAGAGAGTCAAAATCAAATTTGGCGATAAGTGCAAATAGGTAAGGGGTACAAAGTACAGGTGGTTTTACTAGGGTGCGTACTGGGTACAGTAAATTTTCATTGTTTTTTTTTTTTGGAAAAATTAAAATGTTATTATTTTACATACAAAAATTCATTTCTCGATCCAAAATTGTCATCTAGGTAAACAAATTGTTATTAAATGGAATCTTCGATTGTAAAATTAACATTTGACAGTAGTTAATACTTGTATTATAAACAATGCAAAAATACATGTCTTTTTGTAAAAATAATGTTGACTATGTACAAGGCCCAAGAGCCAGTCGAGGTGAAGCGTTAAAGAGTAAGAGGCAGAGTTATAGGTATATGTAGAGGAAGATAACTGTTAACACTGAACTTGAACAGGGTAGTATTGTGTTGATCGAAGAAGTATCCTCTTGAGAGTAGGTTCCACAAAGCGGTTCGTTAGAAGAGGATGCTCGAGTGGAATATATATATATATATATCTTACCAATGAAATGCGAAGAGAACGAGAGCGGTTGGCTAAAATGTGCATAGGTCCTTTTAGTGGTAAGACTGGTGGAATGAAATAATATAGTTCGTCAAAACAATATTGTTCGATGTTTGAACAACCAACAATATTTTCCTTGTTATTTAGCAAGCGGCAAGCCAAATTTCATGATAGGTAGCATTCTGAATACTACAGTCAATTAAGTTTCTGGCTTTAGTCATAATATATGTGTGAATAACAAGCAGTTTTATTTGTGCATCACAGAGGATCCTTTGAAAAGACGACCCCAGAATATACGACTAAAGAAAGATCTAGATACTTAAAAGTAGAAAGTCAAAATTCCATTATGAGTCAAGTAGCTTTCTGAATACCACAGTCAATGAATTACAATAAGTTTCTAGTTTTAGTCATAATATACAGTGCTGTTCGATAAAAGTTACTCACCTGAATTTTTTTACTAAATCTTTTCTTCTCCGATGAAACGAAAGTTGAGCTAAATTCAAAGGATAAGCGATCTAAAATCCGAAGAAGAAGCTTTGAAAGCTCTTTGAATTTAGCAGTAAGTACTGTCAAGCATCCGTTCAGTATAATGTTCTGGGGATGCTTTTCTTTTCATGGAACTGGTTTCTTAAAACCTATTGAAAAGATCCTCAGGAACGAGCAGTACAAGAGAATTTTAGAGTCTTGTTTGCTCCCTTCTGCCTAAAGGGTGCAAATCGACCCCACCAAGCTCATTTTTATGCAGGATAATGCTCCCTGTCACAAGTCAAAATTGATGAAGGAATACTTTGATGGGAAGCAAGTGAGTGTTATGACATGGCCGCCCCAATCTCCTGACCTCAACCTCATAGAAAAGTTATGGGGCATTATAAAGTACAGGCTCTCGAGAAAGCAGTTGAGCAATAAAGAGGATTTGATTGTGAATTTCATATCCGAATGGAATTCAATGCTTGGAGATGAGGTTTACCAGAACCTAATCAAGTCAATGCCCAAAAGGGTTGAAAAGGTTATTCAAAATAAAGGAGGACCCATAGATTATTAAATATTTCGAACTATATTACCTATTATAAATAAATTATACCTCTATTATTCTTTATTTAAAGCTGTTTGGTTATGTTTCTATTGATTACTAGTTGCAGGAAATAAGTGAGTCACTTTGTTTGCACAGAGTTTTTCCCTAAATCTCATTTATATCCAAAATTATAATTATCAATAGAATACCTTAGGGTGAGTAAACTTTTTTACTAGGTGGTCGGGAATAAGTATTTATCTTAGTAATATTAAAAATTAGTTTGACCCCAAAAACAATAGGCGAAAATTTTTAAGTAAAAAAATCAGGTGAGTCACTTTTATCGAACAGCACTGTATGTGTGAATAACAAGCAGGGTTATTTGTACATCACAGAGGATCTTTTGAAAAGACGACTTCAGAATTTACGTCTGGGAAAAGATCTAAATATCTAGCAAGTAACAAGTCTAATTTTCATGACGGGTTAAGTAGCTTTCTTAATATCCCGTAACAATTTTTGTATTCAATGATAACTAAATTTCGTATCCATTTCTTAGAATGTGAAATTAAAACACCTGGAGAGTAATCAGATGGATCAGAGACCTTGCTACCGGACGCAGTTTATCGTCATACCCAGGACTAACGTATGCTTAATGGTGAATTGAATAGTGTCTCATCAGAACAATAAACGCAGACATATTAAAAAGCAATTCATCATAAAAAAAGTCATGACAAAAACGAGGGATAACAAATAAAGATATCTATAAATTAATAATACTGAAATATAACGATAAAAAACCGTCTAAATCGGTTAATCGATCCCCTTTCACCAGAGCCAAAATCGAGGAGAAAAAATTTGCATAGTAATTATATATATATATATATATATATATATATATATATATATATATATATATATATATATATATATATATATATACCTAGACTAATAATGTATACAAACAATATAACATAAAAGGCTAATTAACTGTCAGCAAGCCAACCGCCAACCACTCCCCCGTCTATCGCTCGTAGCCGTACACAAAAAATGAAAACACGTTGCGGGATATAAGACCGGTCACACTTTTTTGTTAACCAATAATTAACCTGATACACTTTTTCATTATTTTTATTATTATTTTTACTGATAGTACACCCAATAAAAGCGCCACTCAAGGCAGAGGGTTACTGAATGAGGTTGTAAGGGAAGAGGAAATAGGAGAGTAGTATTAGGACGTGTAGGATAGATATCGGTTGAACCTGGAGTTAAAGAGACCAATATTGTAGATGACAGGGAAGCATTCTCTCGGGAGTTTGTTAAACAAAGTAACAGTTCTGGGAAAGGAGCTGCCTGACTGGAAGGCAATAAGTATGGTTCACCCCCACACCGGAAACACGGCTTGGCGGGCACTGGCTGTAAAGAAATCAACAAATTTAACTCACCCGAACATTTGATATAGTAATAACGATATAGTAGTGAAATGCTTGCTAAATTTCATCTGTGAGACAAAGGTTGCTGAGTGGAGAATAATTCATCACCCACAAGGCCGCATAAGTGATTTCGAATTCTGTCGCGGATAGACCGTGTGGCTTGGGCAGAACCAGCCCATTTTTTCTTTCTTTCTTTTAATCATTTAAACCTAAGCAAGGCGATAAAGCTACTAAGACGCAAGGGACTACTGGGAGTGAAAGAAAACATTTCAGAAGAAATCAGAAACCACATTCTAAACAGAAAACAAGGGATAAACCTCTACACCTGTTCCAAGATTTTGAACCGGGCGATAGGCGAACCTATTTTCTATTAATCATTATGTTTCGATATTATTGATTGATTGATTCGTTTTCTTACGGCTTATCAACACTTTGCAGGTTATTTAAAGCCAGAAAATACGTTTTTTTTTAGATTGTAAGAATTTGGTGGGGGTAATAATGATTAGTGATACCAATCTTACTAATTAACCCATAGCTAGGGGAGAAGAGGTGGGTTCATATCTTTCCCAAGGTTATTTGCGCTTTACTGAATATAACGATAGTTGGAACTCGGCTCTCTGATTAACAATTCATTATCATGAATATCATTACACCACCCATACACCGAAGCTTACAGCACTTACTATTCCCATGCGGTAACCCATCTAAGTACTGAACAGGCTCTACGTTGCTTAACTTGGATGAACGCACAGGAACCGGTATTTTAACGCGATATTATTTCTGTATTAAGAATAGAATTTCTTGAATATTCTGGAAGGGCAAGACATGTTCCTGATATTTTATATGAACAGTGACGTTTCAGAATTCTTTAAATATTCCCATCATTTTAGTCAGTACGGGTAATAATATTTTGTTTTATAATTGTAAAAGAAAATTCCGATATAACGGTAAATGCTGGACAATCTTCTCAAAGATGAAGATGAGACGTGAAGCGACAAAGAATTGGTTCTAATGAGGAATACAAAGACTACCATGGACGAAATATAAGAGGAAGGAAGAAATTTTAAGGAAAATAGAGACATTATTACAATAGGAACGAGACAGCGACAAATTTTGGAACGAATGAGAAATAGGGTAGAGCTCAGTTTTGAAACCGTGGTATTGTACTCAATGTAAAAGTTGGAGAGTTACATGTTAAATAAGTATACTAAACCTTTTTCAATTACCATTCTTTGAGGAAATGAATTCAAAGACTAAGTTTAGGTTAAACATTGGAATTTCATTCCGGTGATCAATGAAAGCTTTATAGGACAGTCTTATAAAATTTATAATTTACTGAAGCTTTACAAATTGTCTATGGACAAGAAGCAAGGCACGAGCACATTATTATTAAATCATTGTGTCATCAAATAAGACCTTCATGTACTTGAAAGGGAAATTATACTGAACAATTTATCTATATTATGATGTAATATATTATACAGTGCAGTAGTTGTAGTGTGCTTTTCAATAAACAATACAAATTTAAAACATTTTGTCTTAATTTATGCCAGAAGTTTTAACAGGTCGCAATCATTTTGTAGCCATTTTGTAATCTTTTACAAATTTTTGCTAATCAAATGCTGCAAAAAATGTATACTTTGCTTGTGGTGATTCATACTTAAATTTTGTTTTTAAATATATTTTCCATTCAATGTATGTAATACAAAAGATATCATCTTTATTTGGATTTATTATTGAAATAGGAAAATTTTGAAGCCAGTTTGTAGGCAAAAACCTGAGGAAAATAGGTATTTCTGTATATTTTTCAGACGATGTTTAAAAATAAATGCTCAAAAATTACTGGAAGTTAAGAATATAATTTTTAGTGACAGTAATATTCACATTAAACCACAGCTTTCACACCGAGTTCAATATTGATTTTCTGAAGTAAGTGAAAAATCAACCGGCCCTAATGTGCAGTGAATACTCTCCTCATTGGTTACCCTATACAAAAGCCGACATTAAACCCAACAAGGTTCAATTCATTGTAAAATCAAGCAACCTCGCTTCAAGGGGAAATTATACTGAACAATTATTCTATATTATGATGTAAAATATTCTATAGTGTTGTAGTTTAAGTGTGATTTTCAATAAACAATGCAAATTTCAAACATTTTGTTTTATAATTTGTTCTCAGCAATATTATGGTGTTATATACAATTTTATTTATTTATTTTTGTTTTTATCAGTTACTAGCAGCATGGAGTGGCGTTGCCCGTGCTTGATTCAAAAATCGTACGACTCATACAACAATCGCTATCACTTGACTTAAAATATTTTTGCCCTTCCTTGCCTTTAAAGGAGTGCCCTTTGCCTTGCTGATGTTGCTACATGCTTTACGTCTTGCCTATCTCACACTGCGAATTTTTTCTAAGCTCTATACTAAACATTAAATCTGTTACGAAAAAAGAACTAAACAAAATGAACACAAAACGATCAGCTTTAAAAAAGGACTGGAAAAACCGAATGAAAAAAGAATGTTAACAACAAATACTTTTTCACACCCAACCCAGTTCCGCGGAATCAGAATCAACGTTGAATTTAAGCAAGCGAATAAGCCCATTGGAGTAAAGTGCCATGCAGATTTAAATTTTTCCCACTTGTGACGAATGCAGCTATCGATTTTTTTTGCATGTTAGCATGCTAGTTAACATTCGTGGCAGTCAGCTGTTGGCTCTGACGCTGGCCAATAGAATCTTCCTGCCTATTCATCGCAGCCAGCTATAGTCTCTCACTCTGGCCAGTAGAAAAGGGCCGCAAACTACATCAAAACTGCCGTAGAAGCAGGAAAAAATCGATTATTTCCACTATCGATGGGAGTTGGAAAATGCAAAAATCGGTCTTGGCCTTGCCGCCAACTTGGAGCATGTAAATTTTGGTGCAAATCCGTCGAATATTGCGGCCGTGCATTCGTTACACACACACACACACACACGTATATATATATATATATATATATATATATATATATATATATATATATATATATATATATATATATATATCCAGGTAAGACGAGATCGAATAGGGTACAATTTCAATGTTCGTAACATTTAATTTTAAAGAGGGCTTAATACAAAGGATATTATTTTAAGATATTACATTGAAAACATGTTCAAAATCTCGACACATTTGAGTCGTGTTTTGATACGCATACAATGCATCTCATCAGGCGATTATAAATTGTAATTTAAAATCGCCTTATGTGATGCATTTGTTAGCCATCGAGACACGACTGCAATTTTCTAACGTTTTTGACATTTTTTCGATATAATATAGTAAAAGAGAGTATACAACTAACTTCGAGCATGTGCATGTAAATTTTGGTGCAAATCCGTCGAAAATTGCAGCCGTGCATACACACACATCCTGCCTTTTATAGATAGAGATGATCTAACAAATGATCTAAAAAATCTTATTCATGGAGTGCTTCTTTGTTATTTTCATTTTTGACAATTTATTTTTACAGTTTTTCCTTTTCGAATACAGTAAAAAAAATGCATATTTTGCTTGTGGTGATTCATAATTTGAATTCTGGTTTGAATATATTTTAGTTTATATATATATAATATATACATAACTGTGGCGGACATGAGACAGAACCTGGGACGAGCACAACTAGTCGCGACTTGCCTTGTCCCCGCCAAAAAAGGGCCCGTATTTGCTTAGCATGTAAAGCTACTGCAGTTGAAATGAGGGAGAGAAAAAAAAGCACTTACCGCTCTGCCGTAATCCATCCTCGGCCAGATAACATAAAAAGAATGAGGGGGCTGGCATCGCATTTTTATCCAATAAGGACGCAATGCATTATGGGACATGGACGCAATGAATTATGGGATCACAGGAAGATGCAAGGGATTATGGGTACATGAACAACTATAAAAACAACTACTTTTTTCCAAGTCGGCGAGTTCTTCGAGGGACGTTCACGGTTGACGGCTAGAACGGGCAGTTAGTGTGATTTGGAGACAGAACTCAAGAAGGAACGACTCAAGTTTGAAATACCAGCTGAGTGAGCTTGAATTTACTCGCTGGTTACTGTTTTCTTCATTCGCCTATATTATATATATATATTCGCCTATATTATATATATATATATATATAATATAGTTTAGGTTGCACAACGTAGTATTGGAATTTCATTCCGGTAATCAATGAGAGCATATAGCACGGCCTTATAAAATCAAATAAGACCTCTATTTACTTCAAAGGGAAGTTATACTGAACAATCTAGTTATATTATGATGTAATATGTTATACAGTGCAGTACTTTTAGTACAATTTTCAATAAACCATACAAATTTAAGACATTTTGGCTTATAATTTGTTCTCAGCAGTATTATTGATGTTATATACACTTTTATCTATTCTTGTTTTTACTAATTAGTATCTAACAAATGATCTAAAAAATCTTATTCATTGAGTAGCCTTTTTTGTAATCTTTTACAATTTTTATGCAGTTGTTACTTATCGAATATAGAAAAAAATTTGCATATTTTGTTTGTGGGAATTCATAATTAAAATTCTGATATGAATATATATTTTCCAATCAATGTATCTTATACAAAATATATCAACTTTATTTGGATTTATTTTTGAAAGAGTAAAATTTTGAATTCAGTTGGTAAGCAAAAACCTAGAGAAATTAGGTATTTCTGTACATTTTTCAGACGATTTTCAAACTAAATACTCAAGAATTGGTCTATGAAACTATTTTTTGTACCAGTACTTATCACATCAAACCCCAGCATTTACACTGAGCGTAACATTGATCTAAACAAACAAAATCAACCTGCCCTAATGGGGAATGACGCTTGGAGAATTTAACACCAACGAAGAAGAAACTTGAACTGTCAAAGATGTAAATCCAGCAACGGATGATACGAATACCATGATCAGGACATGTTGGGGAAGTTTTATGGAGGATAGGAAGAAAAAGGAAACCGATGTTTACAATCAGAAAGTGGAAATATACGAGATCCGTGGAAAAAGAGCCAGAGGAATTTAAAAATCACAGGACATAACGAAATCTGGGGCTAAACGAATAACCTCTTTAACGGGGTTTTGTGAATGGCAGACAAATCAGGAACAAAGATGGATTGTAAGGAATTTCAGGTTCATCATCATCGGCCCCTCCTCCGCTTCAATCGTCGGTTGGTGGAAACCTTTGGGGGTAGAAGAAGCACACTTTGATACTTCCAATGGGATATCCCCTCCAACGATCACGGAATAAGGTGTGGGTCACATCCGATCCGTACACAAGGCCCTCAAGTTTGAATTCAGAATTTTCCTTCTCCTAGAGCGGTTGCCACCGATGGCTATAGGATGCAGTCTTTCTAATCACGGTGTACTATAGATAGCGTCTTGGATTGAAGAAACGGTGAACCGAGTTCGAATTCTAGTTGAGTTCATTACATTCACTTTGGGTAAATTATGCATCCATCTTTACCCACTACAGCTATTAATAAATTACAGTTTCGTTTTACTTACAGTAATAAACAAGATTGGAAGTTGTGGAGAACATTAATCGCCTCCATACTTAAAGGTTATGGCACATAAAAAAGAAGAAATGTACTTCAATGAAAATTATAGCTTAGAGCGGATGATTTCGTAATTATTTTATTGTTCACAAATTAACGAAAAAAACACCTGGCCTTTGTTTATTTCTTTGATAGTTGACGAAATTAACTTCGTGAATATTGTTTGGTTCGAGCAAAGAACGATGAA